ATCTTTGAGTAAGTATTGCACTTCCAGTCTTCTCTCTGTAACTCATAAACTGTAAAGTTCAACATTCTTTCCAGATCACATAGTTCTGCACGGTGGCCTCTACTATGTTTTGATGTTTCGGTGAAATTCCACAGTCTTTCATAACTTATTTATTGGGAATCTTTCACGGGAATGGTTTTCAACCACAGATCCCCAGCTGTACTTGGACGAAAACACCCAGAAGCCTTCACCACTAGCTGTGCTGGCCAGCATTTCCAAGAACATCTGGGGACACCAAGGTTAGGAACCACTGCTTTACAGCTCTGTGAAATTTAATTTTTAGCGTTATCAGCCTAGAAAGTCTCCTATCCAAGCATCCTCACTCAGCCCTACTTCTTTCTACCTGAATTTTTGTAGCTTTGCCATCTTATGTTGATCTCCATGTGTGTTTCTATCCAAGATGTAACAATTCCTTCAAGAAACCCCAGAAAATCTATTTCCATTCCAGAGCCTGGAAATGTTACCTCTTGGGCTGCAACTCCTAGGAAGTGCAGCCTGAGAACCATATGTGGCCCCTGATGCTGTAACTTATTTTTGAAAAACATTTTTCCCCTCAAGAGATCAGTTTGTACCCTTTAAAGCAGTCGTTCCCAACATTGGGTCCCCAGATGTTGATGTTGTTGTTTAGTCGTTAAGTCATGTCCGACTCTTCGTGACCCCATGGACCAGAGCACGCCAGGCCCTCCTGTCTTCCACTGCCTCCTGGAGTTGGGTCAGATTCATGTTGGTTGCTTCGGTGACACTGTCCAGCCATCGCGTCCTCTGTCGTCCCCTTCTCCTCTTGCCTTCACACTTTCCTAACATCTGGGTCTTTTCTAGGGAGTCTTCTCTTTTCATGAGATGGCCAAAGTATTGGAGCCTCAGCATCAGGATCTGTCCTTCCAGTGAGCACTCAGGGTTGATTTCCTTCAAAAATGGATAGGTTTGTTCTCCTTGCAGTCCAGGGGACTCTCAAGAGTCTCCTCCAACACCACAATTCAAAAGCATCAATTCTTTGGCAGTCAGCCTTCTTTAAAGTCCACCTCTCACTTCAATACATCAAGGTGATTTATCTGCTTTTTAAGATGCTGTCTAGGTTTGTCCCCAGATGTTCTTGGACTACAGATCCCAGAAATCTTGGCTGGTACAGCTAGTGTTGAAGGGTCCTGGGAGTTGTAGTCCAAGAACATCTGGGGACACAAGGTTGGGACCACTCCTTTAGATATTTCACCATAGTGTAGGCCTCCTCTATCTATCTCTGTTCCTGACCCCCATATTTTGGACATTGAAGGTTAAAAATGACCCCCCCTCTTTTTTTTAAAATGATTGCGGTGGTGGGTCCTCAATGGCCAGGTATGGCCCTCTGTGGCTCTTGAAACTCTGGATGATGCTCCCTCTGGTCTGAATTAAAGCATATGGGCTGCAGAATTCAGTTGTGGTGGAGCTGCAGATGTTAACCAGGCCCTGACGACCTAAGATGACCCAAGCTGTAGTGCCATCACCATGGTGAAAATAAGCACCTTTAAGTAGTGAAGCCTGGGGGTATGAATAAAAACTTATTTTCCTATATGTTGGACTTTCTATGGGACATTCATACTGTGTCGTTTACTGGAACCAATCAGAACCAATGTTAATGCACATCAAACTACACATTCAACAATGAATTGGTAGTATGAGTCTTTCTCTTCTTACTACAGATAATGTTTTTGTGTGGGCAATTTAGGGGCAGTGATCTATTATTAGGGTTCTTGCTCCTTGATCTTCTAAAAACCATGGTTCTCAAGCAGTGGTCCATCCAGCACTAGTGGTACAGAGAAGTAATCAAGGAAGGATGCAGGATTTTCCAATGAAATACTAAGAGGTAAAGGACAACATGATTCGAATCTTCAGCTGTTGCGAAATAATGATATTTTTTGCTTTGTTATGTATACTCCCAACAGTACTGCTATAATTTTTAAATACAGTACATCATTACAATTTACAGTAAATGATCAGTATAACAACAGAATGCCTGTAGGTGTCCTTGAAGAAGAACACATGCTCTTCCTCTTTCTATCATGGCATGGCACAGGCTCTTTGACCGTGTGCCAAACGGGGAGGGGTGGACGGAAATCACAAAGGTTGAGATCCACAACTCTTCAGCTCCTTGAATCCTCTGCCAGCATGGTCAATAGCTAGGGAGTCCTTGAGTTATAAAGTCGAAAACGTCTGGAAGATTGAATATTGAGAGCCACTGGTGTAACAGATATAGATAGGTATGCGTCTCTTTGTGACATGCACCCCAAACAGTTAAACATCCCAGATTTCTTTTTTAGTCACGTTGAGGTGGGTCTGAGTTGGAGGCACAAAACACTATAAAATCATGGACTTTCCCCTTGGAGCCAGTAGGAACTACTGCTAGCAGTATAACGTACAGGTCTGTAATAAAACACAAGTAAATGTTCACACAGACCCACTTAACTGTTTCTCTTGTTGAGAGTAAACTTGGAGACATGATTCATAATTCTTCAATGACAAAACCCAGAGAAAAGTAAAGGTTTAGCTGAATTTGAATAAATCCTTCGGTTGGTTTGAATAAAATAGTCAAGACCCTGTCCAACAGGGCTGTTTCTTTCTCAGAAGGAGCCAAAGAGTTACAAAAGGATCAGCACATTAGATTCTCTGAAAACAAACACAAGTGATTTTAGATACCTTTAATGAAGCTGACACCATCATTTCACTAAACAACAATGGAAATACATCTTTATTCTTTGCTTCAAATGACATATACATTGAAGCTGACACCATCATTTCACTAAACAATGGAAATGCATCTTTATTCTTTGCGTCAAATGACATATACACGATTCATTAAACAATGTGTGGTTCAAGGCTAAATAGGGCATCTTATGTCACAATTGTTAATCTGATGTTCTGTGATTAGTTTCCTTATTTGACACCATCCAATTTCTCACTGGCTCTCTTGACATGGCTAGACAACCCATTGCTCTCGGTGATTCCAGACTGCATTTCCCATAATCTCTACCTAGAGCTGGGAAAGTGACCTTTGCAATCTTGAGCTTCCTGTATCCCTCAGCCAACAACCGGGCATTTGAACTGGAGGGTTCTGGGAATTGTGGTCAAAAAGGTAACTATTACAAGGCCGGTTCCCTAAGCATTGATCAAGCTAATCAGGATGACAGAAGCTTGGAGTTCAAAAGAACTGGAAAGCACTGGTTATATCTTCCAGTGCAAGTTGACGGCACTGTATACCACTATGGTGCCATGATTAATGATTGCAAGCAATTAAAAGCAAAATATTCAATTTATATACAACAGGAAGAGGCAGAATATAGATTGAGTTCCCATGGTAGATCTATAGATGCACTGCAGTAGATAGTCAAGAACTTCAGACTGATATTTTAAAAATTAAAAACCCGTCTGTATTCTTTCCTAGTAATGCAGTTCCATGTATTTTTACACAGAAGAAAACCCCACTGGATTCAGCAGGCCTCTTGGAAAGTAACTTTTAAAAGAAGAATAATTATATGGACATATAGTGAAGACATATGTAACTGTGCAATGATAGGATAATGCTCTGGGATCCAGCACATAATTATACCACTGCTCAGTTGATAGTTTCAGTCTGGCATTGTATTCATTTTTAAAAAAAATTCTTTCTCAAGTTCTGTTCCCTAATAAGTGTTTTCAGGATTGAGGCATCAGCTGGACTGTTTAGCTGCATGGATAGACTCCCCAGTCTTAGGGGGAAAGAGTCTTGCTCAGTGATTCCCAACCTCAGGTCTCCAGATGTTCCTGAACTAGAACTCTTGGAAATCCTGGCCAGCACAGCTAGTGCTGAAGGCTTTTGGGAAGTTTTAGTCCAAGAACATCTGGGGACCCAAAGCTAGGAACCATGGGTGTAGTTCTTCCATCTTTGTCTTTGCTTATTTTGTGTCTCTGTTGAAGCCTTCTCCAGATGGAAAGTGACCTATCGGCAAAGACCAACTCTGGTGGTCTTCTGTAAGCTCTACATTTGGTGAGTGTCTTTATACAAATCGAATTTCCTATTTACATTCTGGTAGTTTTGAAGTCTAGGGTCGGGTAGGACTCTGGTGTAAACTTTGGAAAGTCCAGACTGCAAGCTAATCATGGATGAAGGAACAGTCTGCCCTGTACTTCCAAGCAAGATTCTTTAAACATACAGCACAGAGATCTTTATCTTATTTTTACCCACTTTAATTTAAACATGCACAGTCCTGATCTGGCTCAGGGCCAGTATGTGCAGGGGAGTGAGATAGCAGAAACTGGGGGAAAAGTTTCAACTTTCCCCTCCAGGATATCCTGGTTCTCATCTGGATAATGGCTGCCCGCATTTACTCTACAGTAAGTTTCAAACCTCAAACACAGTATGGCGTTTGATTCCCAAGGTATAAGACAACACCCATCTGTCACTATTTTGTAGCTACACACACCACACTTGATCTTAGCCAAAAAGGCAGGAAGATCTGGTTGGAACACACACCACACTTGATCTTAGCCAAAAAGCCGGAAGATCTGGTTGGAACCATGGGTTTCTCGTGAGAACAAACGAAACCTTGCAATTCTACCATCTGCCCATTTACAACAGTGGCAACGGCCAAGGGTGGAAGAGAGATCTGGAGACTGAAAAAATCAAAATAGATCCATGTTTTATGTTCCTGATAAATCAGACATGGATCCTCCACCCACAACACAGTTAGTTGTAATTGTCTGTCTCTAAGAAACCATTCATGTTGAACTTTACAGTCCTTTGAAGAAACACATCGGACAGAATTGTCAGTCAACTACAATTCATGGATCTAGATTGAAACATGTCAAGGAATTTTGCCCTGGAAGTGAAACTGGGGGTTATCATTGGCTGGACTGTGCAAAACAGACAAAGAAAGTGATTTGCTGATGTGCTCTGATGCAAAGTATGAACATGAAAACCAAAAGGGAAGGATGATGCCGAGAAGGAGCTGTTACATGGGAAGAAGTTTATTTATTCCCTTCCCTTCAAAATCAACGACTTCATATTTTTACTTCTTCAAAACATCTTGACTGCAGTACTTCCCAACCTTGGGTCCCCAGATGTTCTTGGACTAAAACTCACAGAAACCATGAATACTAGCAGTGCTGGCCAGGACTTCTGGGAGTTGTAGTCCAAGAACATCTGGGGACCCAAGGTTCGGACCCACAGCTCTAGAAGGCAAGGCGGTATGTCTTTGCCTTGCCCTTAATGTATAACCAAGTGAACAAATTCACATGAACATTAGGTAGCCATGCCCTGTAGCCTGCCATGACACATTCTGAAACTGGGGCTTGTTTTGAACAGGCAATCATAGCCCAAATCAGTTACAACCGTACATATTTTTCTGGCATTGTGTTTGTAGGGCAGCTATTTGCACTGGTGACAATGCAGAGAAAATGAGGATGGAGAATGACTGACTCTCCAGACATTGCTTGATGGCCACTCCCAGCATCTTCAAACAGTGTAGAATGATGGCAGTTGTTTGGCAATGTCAACCGGAGAGCCATCTATTGTCCATCTGTGGAACAGAACAGTGTTTAGGTAGCAATTCGTGCTATGAGAGCAGGAGTGCTGCAAACACACTTTTGTTTTCATCCGTGAAATATTGGCAAGCAAGAAGTCGTCCAAGGGAAGCCAGCGAGCCCAGACACGGGTTCAAAGAGCAATACGGGTGATCGAATACAGAGGAAGAGATGAAATACAGAAGGAGGAATCTACAACAGGAATTAATCCTGGGCAAGAGAATGAGAGAGGAGAGCCTGATCTATAAACCCATCTCAGGAATTTCATTTCAAGGGCTTGATCATCGATAGATCGCCACCGACAAGATAAGTGTCCTTAGGACTACCTAGCTGATCAAAGGGACATTGTCCAGCCACCCAGCTGGACCCTGCTTTCCCATTTGATCCTTGGTGCCCATCAATCAGCTTGTCTCCATGGGGTTGTTTTTATTGGAAAGATTTAAGGGGACAAAACCACCGATTAGTTGCCAACAGAGAAGTAGTTTTGAGAAGCTGTCACTTTTAGTGAACGTTGTAAATGACCACGACGAAGACGATGTAGAGAACGGTGAAGGCAAGCCCCACCCCGAGGGCTGTATGGGCCAAGATCCGTGCCATCCTGGAGTTCCGCTGTGCAGCTGCGCGATTTCCCATATGATTGGCTTCTCGGGTCTGGGGAGAAAGAAGTAACAAGTCAGAGGGGAAAAATGCAACCGGGTGGTCCTCAACCACTGTGAAACAGCTACTGATGTGTTGCTCAAGACAGCCCCGTTTTCTCTCGCAATACAGCACCTACTAGTAACCCAAGGGTCTACAGATCGGGCCTTGGGAAATGCAGCCCCCCCCCCCGGCTGTTTTGGACTAGGTTGCCCTTTGTCTTTAACACTCAATATATTGGCTGGAATCCCTGGAAAACAAAGTTCAAAACGTGTAATGAATAACAATTCTCTATCTTTAACAGCTGTGTGCAATGAGATATTTCCAGAAACAGAACTTCCATAGTGGAGAGGGGGGATTTGAACGCAGCTCTCCCGAGTCTTAGCCTGACACTCTATTCACTGCACTGGAATTATTTCTAAACAATTATTAAAAACAGAGGAATCCTGTCTTTCATCTTATGTGCCACATGAAAAATCTGAACTGTGTTCGGGGGCCGAACCAACTTTACTTAAAAATAAAATGAAACAGTGATGTCATGATTGTTTTTATTTCAAACTTGTTAATCTTCGCAAATACTAAAGAGGTTTTTTTGCGGTATGTGAAAGATAAGCAACTGATCAACGTTAGACAAAAAGCTATAAATGGTTTTGATCTTCAAACCTGTCCATGGGCCGGACAGGATGTGGCCCGCGGGCCGCACTTTGCCCAGGTCTGCCCTAGTGTAAACCCTTCAAACTGAGATGTTAGCACTGGTAGTAGAGGATCTTTATGCCTTAGTTTCCTGCAATTTTTATTGCCATAATACAGTGATCCACCTGTTTAGGTGTGCCACTCTCGAGACGATAAAAACTGCGAACTGGTTCATTTTTCTGTGGGAGTGATCCACCTGTTTAGGTGTGCCACTCTTGAGACGATAAAAACTACAGTAAATTTTAGGCAATAAATCTGGGGGAGACTTGGCGCCGGAGAGGACAAAACCTTTTTATTCTCATGTAGCGATGGGCACAAACCGAACCACGAATTGGCAAAACTGACGAACCAGACTGGGCTGTGATTCAGTTCGTGACCCGCTTCAAGGATCCCATTTTGCCAAAGCAAAGCGAAATGCCAAACTTTCCTTCCCCCCCCCCTTTGGCATTTCATTTGCTCCAGCAAAAGGGGATGCCTGCCCATCTGCCTTCTTCCCCCTGTGTCTGGCGCCTCCCTACCTGCTCATGATGCCACTGCCTCCTTCTCCACTGCCATCTCCGGCTCTGCCGCCATCCTCAGGTGGCGGCAGACCAGCTTCCCTGCCAAGAGCCGGCCGCTGCCTCTGGGCATGTGACCATGGCAGCAGTGGTGGCAAAGGAGGTGGAGGTAGAGGTGGAGGCAGCAGGAACAGATCGGTGCCTCCCTCCCCTCCATGTATGAACCAGAAAAACGAACTGTCAAATGCTTCATTTTTCTGGGGAGTCCATAGTGGTTTGTGGTCCATGGTTAGCCGCAAACCACGAACCATCACAAACCACAGATCTTCCGATTCATGCCCATCCCTACTCACATGCTAGATTCTTGATCAAGCAGGATGTTTGTGTCACTGTCCTTTAGCCTGCGTTAATAATCTTCTTTGCCCAGTTTCATATAAACACCTGTATTGTACGTTGGCCATTTGAGAACGTGGCTTGGCATGCACCAAAGCTTATTCTAAAATGGATCTTGGGCCAGAATTCTATACGTGTTTCCATTTGCATAATGTCTTGCAGTTAACTGATGAGATGTTGGGACACATCTCGGTTGTGCCATTGGGTGCATGGCCAGGCTTGCAATCAACATGTGCTTCAACACCACATTGATTAGTCATAGTGAACTGTGGCAAGTTCTGTAAACTTCATGCAATCGACTTCTTCTCTGTTAGTCTTAATAGTCCTGCAAGACTCTAGGGTTTGTTTGATTGAAACAAAACCATTATATACAATGAAATATCTTCCATTCACTTTCACGATGTTCAAGAACAGTACAAGAAGTATAAAAAGGCCTGGGAGAAATGGAAAAATGACTCTGGGAGCAAAACCCGGACTATCCTGCACGGCGTGCCCCAACATCAAGGAGCTGCAGAAAGTTACACAAACCTTGTGCAACTAAAAATGAGAGAGAAGTGGTCTTCTTGAGGTGGTAAATGGAGGCCTCTCCTCTCACTCCCACCCCCAATTGTGAGTTTCTTGAACTCCTGTTCAACGGTTGTTCGCTCAACACTCTCTGCTGGCGTAAATGCCAAATACAGTGGTGACTCGCAAGACGAATTTGATTCGTTCCACGGTTAATGTTGTCTTGCGAAAAATTCGTCTTGCGAAATGCGTTTTCCCTTAGGAAGGCATTGAAATCTAATTAATGAATTCCTATGGGCAAAAAAAGTCAGAACAAAGTCAAATTTGGTTGACAAAGGGTTTATTAAGTGCTCTTTAAAGCCATACATATTGTGCAGATGATTTAAAAAATTTCAGTCAAAAAACCTTAACATTTTAAACATCACAGAATAACGTGTTAAAATCAGCAAACATGAGGCAGGAACAGAAAAAAACTGAAAATATTCCATAGGAACATTTCCATAGCAAACATGAGGCAGGAACAAAAAAAACACTGGAAATATTCCATAGGAACATTTCCACAGGCTATAGGAACATTTGTCTTGCAAGTCATCAACTCCATTGCCAAAACCATTTGTCTTGCAAGTTTTTTTTTGTCATGCGAGGCATTTTTCTTGCGAGGCACCACTGTATTCTTACTTTCCCCACAATTTCTCCCACTCATGTTGGGCTTTATTCCCCCCCCCACTTTACTGACTCCCTGTTTCAATGCATAGTCCCTCTCCATACCAGGACTTCAATTGTGGTGGAAAGGCCCTCATTATTTCCACATAGCTGGGGATGATAGGAGTTGTAGTCCAACCGTTCAGATATAAGGGAGAGGCAGCTTGAGAAAACGGCCTTTATTCCACTCCATGAAAAGTTTGGAGAGAAAGAGAGAGAGGTCTGGCTCCACCCACTTTAGCCTTTGCCTTTTACTACATGATGCTCTTGAAGATCCCACCTGAAGAGAATATTAACCTTGACAGAACAGAGGTTCACTGCTGTGGACTAGATCAGTGGTTCCCACGCTTGGATCTCCAGATGTTCTTGGACTCCAGCTCCCAGCACAGCTCAGGATGAAGGCTTCTGGGAGGTTTAGTCCAAGAACACCTGGGGACCCAAGATGGCAATCCACTCCCTTAAAGAGATTCAGAAACTCTGCATCAAACTATTTGTCCTCTCCTGCCTGTCTTTTAAATACAGATGTTCACGGATCTCCCTGAAAGGTAAAGGATCTGAAATCCCCTTTGCACCCACCTGATTCCTGCATGAGTCCCCTCCCCAGACATACACTCAGCCAGACGCCCGCAGCTACACCGAGACGTACCTGTATAGAATAAACCAAGGAGGCAATGCCCAAGGGAAGGCAGCAGCAAAGCATGGTGAAGATGGAGTAGGCCAGGTAATCGGGTTCGTTGCTCGGCTGGACAGGTGTGACGAAAACAGACTGTGGAGGCTGAAGGACTGGGCCAGGTTGATACAAAGGTGGCATGGCAGGAGTCGCCCCATAGCCCACCATAGGGGCTGCTGGCTCGGGTCCCCCATAGGGCTGTTTTTCAGAGTAAGGTGGGGGTTCCGGCATATTCAGCCCATCACTTTGAACCTTCTCATAGTTTTGGTTGCTCATCGTAGAGTCTCCTGCGTCCCTCCACTCCCTCTGGTTTCCAGCTGGGTAAGCAAAGTCTCTTCTCTTTGGTTCTTCCACGTCACTTAGGGACCTTATTCTTCTCTTCCTCTCTGCAGTTGAACCTCTGCCTTCCTCCCCCCTGGGCTGGTGCTTCTCCCACCCGTGGGCTAGATCTTTGTTGGGTTAGAGGCTTGCCTGAGCAAAACCGGTCGCCCCGCTCCGCTGCTCTGCTGGAAGCAACGCTGTGTATCGCTCCAGCTCTTGCACAGAATGCCTTTGTGCTGCCTTGCAGTCCAGTTCAACGAGGCGGTGGAATGAGTAATTGCATAATAAGTAACAGAGAAAGCTTGCATTCCATGTGGCAACTTCCGGCAAAAGTATACACTTCTCCAAACAGCAAGGGACTCTGCTTCCCCCCCTCCCATTTCCCAGTTTTTTGATGCGGGAAGAGGAGGGAGCAGGGAAAGTTTTCTGAGGAAGCCCTCTATGTCTCTCATGACGGCTACTGGAGACCAAACTCAAGATCCTCCACACTATTCTATTCCCAATTACTCTGTACAGGTGTGAAAACTGGAGAGTGAGGAAAGCTGACAGGGAAAAAAATCCACTCGTTTAAAACATGGTGGAGGAGAGCTTTGTGGACAACGTGGACTGCTAGAAAGATAAACAAGTGGATCAAGCCTGAACTTTCTCTGGAAGCAAAAGATGCCAAAACAGGGGCTGCCATGCTTTGGAGACAACATTAGAAGGCAAGGCTTACTGGAAAAGGCAATAATGCTGAGTAAATCTGAAGGCAACAGGAAAAGAGGAAGGCTGAATATGAGAGGGATTACCTTCATAAAGGAAACCATAGGGTTATGTTTTCAAGAGCTGAGCAGGGCTATTGAGGACAGGGCATTTTGAAGGGCACTCATTCATAAGGTCAACAAGTTGGAGGTGACTTAACAAAATGTACCGTAATAACAACAATAACACACTGCCTAAATAACTCTATCCTAGTTGCCACATGATATCCTGTCTTGGAAGAGTCTAAGAAATCTGATGGATGATAACAAAGATCTATAATGAACTTGTCCAACAGGTTTATGTCCCCTTGCTTGTCTAGGGCCTATCCCGTGGAATTCTGGGAACTGTAGTTTGGTGAAGTTCTTAGAATTGTCTGCTGTACTTCAAGGAAGGCGTTAGAACTCTGCGGCAGATAATTCTAAGTATTTCACCAAACTACAATCCCAGGATTCTATAGGATTAAATGTTCAGACAATGTCATATAAAAATTGCCTTATGTTAAAATTCAACAGCATTGAAGAAAAACAAAAAATCTGTAAGGTTTTCAAGAGCTGAGAACGAGCGCACTGTTTAACGATGAATCCGCATAGCGATGAGGATTTTGCTATCGCTAATGCGATCGCATAGCGATGTTTTATCGCATTGCGATGGGGGAACAGCTGTTCAGCAGTTCCAAAATGGCCACTGGAACACCCAAAATGGCCACCGGAACACCCAAGATGGCCACCGGAACACCCAAAATGGCTGCTGGAACACCAAAAATGGCCGCGGACGGATGGGGAGACTTCGCAGAAGGGTGAGTTTTGGGCCCATTTGGAACTTTTCCGTTCCATATAGCGATATTTCCCCATAGCGAAGGTTAATCCGGAACGGATTAACCTCGCTATGCGGGGCACCACTGTATATTCAAGACATGGACCACATGACTCTTTCACCTCCATTTGCATCACGATATCCTGTCTTAGAAGAGTCTAAGGGTGTGACTAGATGGGAGAATTTTGACGGATCTGGGTTGTGTTTAAATGCCCTTATCTTCAGTGTCTTCTATTTATCTCATACTAGAGTGATCCTTTCATTTCAATGGGAGATTTTCTTTTTTCTTGAGAAAGATCCAGAATTCCCCTTTCAATTATAGATATACCCCAACCCCGTCTCTGTCATTTGTCATGACTGTCATTCTGTGGGCTGCTTTGGTTTAATTTAGTGTGACACAGCGCTACAGCAGTACATCAATCTACCCTGGATATACTCCCTTATAATTGAGATAGCGCTATGTCATTTGATAAAATATTTAGAAAATTTGTGAGAATAAAGAAATAAAATAAAGGAGAGGGTTACTCTGCTGTTCTTTCTACTGACAGAACCATTGCACACATCACGAAGTTATAATTGAAGTCAACACCACCCACAGCTCTATTTGTGAGTGAATTAAACAAGCACACACAGACTGTTGAATGGGATAATCTGAAGCACTCCCAGTCACATTGAATAAAACTGCAGCCCTGGTGCTATGCCAGAAAGGAGAAGAACAGCTTGAAAAAGGGGTGTAATGGATTGCCTTTACTTAAAACACAAAAGTGGGCCACTCAGTCTGCACTAAAAGCAAAGCAAATAGTGAGCTTTATGCTCATCTGATCTCCCACGTGCTGTGCCAGAAAGGAGCAGAACAGCTTGAAAAGGGGGTGTAATGGCTCGCCCTTACTTAAAACCCAAAAGTGGGCGACTCAATCTGCACTAAAAGCAAAGCAAATAGTGAGTTTTATGCTCATCTGATCTCCCACAAAGAGACCTGAGGGATCCCACCCAAACTGATATCAAACTCCTATAACATTGCCACGTAGACACATTTCAGATGTGTCTGGGAAGCCTACAAGCAGCACAAGAGTAAATTGGCATTCTCTATTTGTGTTCCCCAGCAGCTGAAATTATAGGACATGTTGCTTCCAATAGATCCTTTGTAATGATAGCTCAGTGGTTTAGGTCTCTGACTATGAAGCTAGAGGTTAGGAGTTCTGTTTCCTACTGTACCTCCTATAAGTAGGGTCAGCCTGTGTAGCCTTGGGCAGTCCCAGACTGTCCTCAGAAGAAGGGAATGGTAAACCTAGAAACCCTGGAAAGGCTTGCCTTAAGTCAGAATTGACTTGATGCCACATGATGACGATGACTAACGATGGCAAAATAGTCCGTGTGAGAGGGTGATGCAGACAGTGTAGACTTCCTAAACAAATACGTGCACAATACACATATGCCCTATGGGCAGTTAAGAGTGCGGTAGAGATGCCGGTAGGTGGCCAGGCGTGAAGATCATCCCCTCCTCCATAAAATCAAAGTTTGTCATCTTCCAGCACAGCTTGTTGTGAAATGATCTCCTTGCTTGGTGAAGAATCTCAGTTCCTGGAAGCTCCCTGAGGAGGCCCCACAACTCTAGACACAAGCAGCATTGGTAGTGTAGTGTAAAGGTCTCAAACATACACAGACCTTGTCTTTCTCTAAGGCTGAAAAGTTTTAATGTAAGGCAATTTCTATATGATGCTGTCTGGATGAGTGGGGGGAAGTATCTTAAGCATTTCATTTACTTTGAAAGAGCACATATTTTCATTGGATAAAGGAATATATTCATTTGGTTCTATAATGTTTCACAAAATGTCCATTTTTCCTATCAGAGGAAGTTCTTGGGGGGGGAGGGAAAGTATCCCCCATTTTCTACCTCTTTTCATCTCAGTTTCTTCCACCAGTTAGAACAGTCTGCAAATCTCATGCTTTGCACTGAACGCTTAATTTTATCTTTATGGCTATCCTGATACCTTTCATGATGATCACAGCAGAAAAGAGAAGTTTTACCAACTGGAGATTCAGCTGCTTTGAGAGGCGCAGCTACAGGGGCCCACTTGATAAGCTGGCAACCCTATCTGTTGATACTGTTTTGCATACTTCAGTTTTTTGAGCATGTGGTGTACAAAGGGGCAAATCTGGCCTTGGGAAGAGGTCACTTGTGAAGGCTTCTGTTGATTTTGTGATTTATTATTTATTTGCACATCTGTACCAACTGTGCATAAGGGGAAGTGAGGGTTGGCACATGAAATAGTGGACAGGGTTCCTGGATGTTTTCTTGAGAGAGAGAGAGTAGTTTCATCCAAGTTGGCTTGTACATTTCTTGCTTAGGGCTCGGAACCTCTATCCATAAGTAGAGTTCCTTATACCATTTATGCAACTCTGACAAACCCTATCCTGACCACTGCCCATGCTTCTGTGTGAAATGAAACCTGTCACGCTCAATGTGCATTAATCATTTGCACAAATGTCGTTCACTAAACTTGATCCTCCTAACCTGATGGGTTATTATGAGTAAAACTGGGTTTGCATTAGAAGTGATGGAAAAAATGTGCATTTTAGCCTCTCCAGTTGCCAGCTGCAGGAGATATAAGGTGGTTTTAAATTACTATACGCCTGGAAAAGTTCCTTTTTTTGGTCCCCCAGAAGACCTCAGCTGGTGTGATCAAAGGCTATGCTGGCAATGGATTTCAGGAGCTGTGAACAAACAAAAGAGGAAAAAAAGTTACCTCAGTATAGATATAGCTATAGATACAAGTGAACATATTGACCTGGGGAAAGAATTCTTCACATACCTGAACAACAGAACAGGCACATGCGCCAGCAAAATCTCAGAGCCCTGGAGCTGAGTGTCAACACTCTTGCACAGCAAAAATCTAAGATTCAGCCCCAAGATTTGCCATGCTCTGCAGGATTTCAAACAGCGGGACTGGGAGTCCATCTTCACTGGCACACTGCTCCCAGCGTTTCCCAGTCAGGGTAGCTAATATAGGCCGAGATGTCACCGTAACACCGTCCAGTTAAACTAGTTCAGAGCAACAGTGTCTACTTTGCCACCTATGAGCTTTAAATTCTGAAAGCCATAATTTAAACGTGAAGAGAGACAGTGAAAACAGCTGAAGGCCAGGCAGAAAGTTGAGCTGGGTTGATTGGTTGGCAAGGAGTTTGAACTGCTGACTGTCTAACAGGAGAATCAATTTAATAACACTCATTTTCCCCCTCAGGCATGGCTTGTAAACTGCGTGTGAGAGTATCTGCACGCTCTACCCCAAACTTTCAGGGGAGTGCCTGCACGATCTGGTCACAAACTACCTAGGTCCTTCCCCAAATAATCCTGTTGTAATGAATGAAACTTTACGAAAAGCAGAAGTGGTTTTTGTGCAAAAGGGCAGTGAGTGGCATTCTCTTTTGGCTTTCAAAACAACATTCCTGGATGCAGATTTCTTTGCATATCTTCTGCACCAGGCTCTACCCGTTCCTGGATTTTGGGCTCCTATTAAAGAGGCCGGAAAGTTTATTTTCAGGCATGGACTTGCTCGTTCCTGGAGAATTCCTGCTCACCTGTCGCTGAGGGAATGTGCATATAATTTCGAGAGCAGGAGAGAGGGTGTTCTTCCACTGGAAAGTTTTGCTTGGTAGGTCCTCGACGGAGGCAGCCAAGCTTTGATGTTTCATTAATCAATGATTAGACTAAACTC